TGTTTTAAAATTTTGTGTAGAATTTAACAGTGCTCTTGGTTTTGTCTGTCAGTAAAATGGTGTGTTGAATAATGTCTGTTGAATAGTGTTTCAGATAGAGCCTGAGATGTTTTGATAGGTAGCCTAGAGGATTCAGGAAAACCTTATGTGATTTTGAAGTTTACAGTGAGCAAGCAGTCTTTTTCCAGAGCTAGTCTGGATCTGGCTGCTTACATAGGAAATTGACTGTCCAGTGTCTGTCCAGTTGACTGTCCAGCATCAGCAAGAAGAAGCAGGCCTTGTGCTCTTTTTGGAAGCTTAAAGAGCAATGAATGAATGCATTCTGAAGAATGTTCTGTACTGTGTTTAGGTGTTCTGGAATCGCCACTAGATCTTAAAGATTGAAAGTCAATTTGCCCCACCGCCCAAAATGATTTGTCATTGTCACTCCCTTCTGTAGATATTCAGCCTCGATATCACCTCCATCACCTCCTCCTGTGAAAGATCAAGATATGGAAATCGAAAATGAATGTGAATTTTTAATTGATGACTCAGGTGGTGCATCATTTACTTCTTGGATTTCAATACCCAGTAAGAAAAGAAAATCAAAAAAAGATGGCTCTGCAACTCCTGTTTCTAAATCTCAGCCCTCTGAACAGAAGAAGACGCAGAGTAAGAAAGGCAAGAACAGGAAAGCACAGGTTGAAGCACTTACTAAACAGAAACTGAATAATCTGGATGTTGGAGCCTTTGACATCAAAAGAACGTCAAAATTGGATCCAATCTCTAACAGTGAAGGAAATGTCCTTAAATCTCAAAGCCAAAAGAGTACTCATAGAGGTAAGTTCTTTAACAGCTCCTTAAACTTTTCCTTCCAGGTCATATTACTGGATTATTTTGTGGTGGTTTATTAGGAAATTATAATAAAGTAGATAAGAGACATTAATGGATTCCTTTTTGATGTTTCAGTTCCACAGTTAGATTTGGATGTGTATGAGGCAGTGAGACAGTGTCTTCACTTTTCCCATCCTCTTTGCCCTTCCTGTTAGGATGTTAAAAATTAATTTAGTGGTGTTGTCTTTCCTTATGAGCTGGTGTAGAAGGTAGGTACCCACATGGTAGGGTACGTAGGGTAGGTAGGAAGGTAGAAGGTAGGTAGGAAGGAGGTTAAGACGCATGCTTCAAACTGAAGGGGATTGGGTTTTAGGAATTATTTGTGAAAAGGTTTGTAGCAGGAAACACTGAAAACTGGATAGCAAGCTAAATGTAACATTTCTGCTCCCTTTTTTTCTGTTAGGAAATACTGGAAGTACACTAAAAAGGTTTTTATACACTGTAGTTTAGAGAAGGCCTTCTTTTAGCCTTCAGAAACAAACCTGGTTTAGTGATACCTTTTGTTTGTTTGTTTTCCCATTTTGATTTTTTGGTTTATTTTTAGGCATTCAGATGTCAACATGTATCTGTTTAATGCAAAAAGGTATTAATGTCCAAATGTTTTGTGTATTGATAGGAAAGACTAAAAAGAATGCACTTAGGCAAGACTCTCCAAACCAGAAAAAGAACACATCCTGGAAACCAGAAGCTGAAGAACTGATATTGTCATGGTCTGGATTGGAAACAGAAACATCTGATGCAGAAAAACATAAAACAAGGGTGCTGCCAAGTGAAGATTTGCCTATGCCCTCATCTGGGCATCAGCAAGAACAGACTGTGTCTCCAAAAAAGTCTATCAAGTCTTCCAAGAATCTGCAATCAGCTTTAAAAGCTTCTCAGCATTTAGATAAGAGGAAACAAACTGCTAAGCAGAAACTTCCTAAGGTTAAAGCAGCTAAGAAATTGGCATTAAGTCCAAGAAAGGAGCTTAAAAAATCTGTCCAGAAAAGTAGTAATAAAAAACCTCAGTTGCAAAGAGAGAAGAGTTCTGACAGTGAACCTAGTGAAGAAGAGCATGAAAGAGAGCCTGTAGATTTGAAAGATGTGTGTACCACACCCTTGC